CCTTCAGAAATGTGTTTTTCCCAAAAAGCCAGTAGAGTTTTCCCATATTTTATGTTCGATAACAAATTTGTGTTTTTTTCTTGAAATCATACATTTTGTTATCTATAATCGTGAAACAGGAAGCTCTTATCTATAATGCAGAGTTTCTAGTCTCTGTATTCCGAATAGTAATTCAACATTATTTTCAGTCTTGAATATCGACGCGTATGTAAAATTCCTCTATCGCGCTGTTTTTCTAAAAATATTATGTATGAATTTGTGCAGTGGTGTTCGCTTTTCAAAGAATCGTGTATGGAAATAGGGTTAATCGATTTTTGTTTTATTTAAATTGTTTTTTCACTATTCCCATTCATTATTCGGATTCTCATCGAGGCTATATGGAAAAGAAAGGTAAAAGTGCTTCATGCTTTATATTTTTTCCTATATAGATCTTCTATATAGATACAAGTAATCAAAAAGTTGTGTATGAAATCTCGCATCGCGAGTTTTGGCTGAAAGGCCCACAGACTTGAGATACCAATCATTTGCTATGAAATAAATGTGAGTACCTTGCTAATATAGTGCTAGAGTATCTCTGATGCGCAGGCTGTTTTTTCAATATTCCCTTAGCCACTAGCGGCACTAACCCGTTTTTTGGGTTGAGTCAGGCTCAGGAATTGTTATATATTATTTGGATTTGCATTGAGCACACTTTGATGCAAGATTTCGCGACACCGCGTATTTTGCTATCTAGCGAGTAGCCTGATAACATCTATCAATCTAATATGTTTTGCTGGGCTAGCACCTAAACTGCTATTCAACGCCCTATTATGCTGTCGTTTATCATACGTGAGCTGTCATCTATCGAATTTTTGTTGGTAAAGTGGAATGGAATGCCCTTTTTGCAGCTCAAACACCTGATTTTTTGTTCAGTGCATTATGGAGCACTCTGTATGTTGTACCGCGAAGAGCGCCATCGTATATTTTTATTGCAGTTCAACTCTGTATTATTTTTTCGATCCATGAATTATGGGTCGTCCTGTATATTTTTTTTTTTACTATTCAACTCAAACATGATTTTTTCAGCCTGAATACCTCTGAATACTTCTATAGGAAAACGAGTTTTGCTAAAGAGTTGTTTGACATATTTCAAAGTGGACGGTAAAAGGATGTTTTTACTGGGTATAGGTATGCTGAGTTCGCCTGATGTCTAATATTATCATTATAAGTATGGAGAATTTCAAGACTCTGACTATGTTTCTGTATATAGAAACTGCTATTCGATCGTTTGTTATCTGCCCCGGTCATCTGCTGTCATGTCATCTATCATCCATTTGATTGAATTACATCGTGATTGGGTTCATGGTAGTTCTATAGTTTGTTTTTTCGTAATTATTTGAATGAGTGGTAATAAATTTTAGATTTTTTTCTACTCCCTGTATATGTTTTCAAATAATTCATTCGACTCGAGTTTTATGACTCATTCTGTGTATGTTTCTTGAATATTTAATCCACCCTACTTATTCTGCTCATCCTGTATATGTTTTTTCAGTCGAATCAGGTTTCTCCAATCGCTGTGTATATGATGATATCCTAGAAAAAGTACGTAGATCTGGGGAAAAACTCTGCTTTGTTTTACGCAGTCACTTATGGGACGTAACTTGTAATTTCCATAGAATCTAGGGAAAAATTAACTCTTTCGCTTTCATAAAATTCATAAGTTGTGCTAAACCTGGATATCTGTTTTCGATAAGCGCTGGAAGGTTACGTGTCATACATCTCATCTGTCGAATAGTATAAATGTCCTCTATCATACTTTAGTTGTTGAATGTCTGAATAATTCGATTTTCATTCTACAACTTCACCACCCTGTATCTCAGAAAATGGAGCCATTTCGGACTGAGTAAGTTCCTTTAATCCAATTGAATTTAATTGATCTGTCCTATACAAGTTTGTATTACTATTTGAAAGCCCTGTATATTCAACGGACTCTAGCGAGTCATCTGTCATACGTTAATATGTTCGCAGGGTCCGCCTGTCAGTTCTTGCCTCCCTGTATATATATTTTTATTGCTATCCAAACACCCTGTATAATGATCGGAATCGTCAACTAGCGTCATCTGTCACACTTTTGCTGAGTCCACCTTTAACTTCTTGCCACGAGTGCCCTATATAAGTTTGTATTGCTATTATTGCTGTATATCGAACGGATACTATATCATACGTATGTTTGCTACCCCGTGAGACACCCTATTATTTCTTATCGCTATTGCTAACTCAGACCAGGATATATCATGTTATTGAACGAGTTTTGATAAAGAGTTGTTCGACATATTTCATGGCTAATGAAATCTGACCTCAGCATCAATTATTTCCATCACATACCTAACTGAACGTTTCCCTACACACATTTCAAATGATATCTCATAAACTTTGAGACTTTGCATATGGACGAACCATTATTGGAATGCTCGCGAAAAATCCTTCTCTTAGAGTACCTGCACCCCCTCTTCAACCCTCTGATACCTTAAAGTATTACTGCGGATCACCCAGTATATTTTTTTTTTTTTTTTTTTTTTTTTTTTTTTTTCAGCTAATAAACACCCTGTATATCGAATTATTAGGTAGCCTACTTACTGGTCACCTAGTCACGTGTCATCAATCCTTTGTCATCTGTCACACGTCAGCTGCCTAATCCCTCAAAAGTGGGTAGGTCGCCCTGTATATTTTTTGGCTGTTATCCATCTCAAACGCTCTGTATATATCATTAGCTAGCGGGTAGCCTATATGCTAGTAGTCTACTCGTCGGGGAGGTATAACGCCTTTTGGGTTCACTCTATATATTTTTTCCCCAACTATTAGCCAACTCATACACCCTGTATATAGCCATTATTGATTGAAAAATGTATCGAAATGCGCGCCGTTATCTCTAGAACGGATCTCTCGCGTCGCTCGTTGGATGACCTTGAAAGGAACCAAAAATTGCAGAATGAACCTTAACTTTTCTTATGGAGATTAACATGGGAAAAGTGACGTTTTGATTCTGGAACTGGTACAGCTCATTTACTTATGAGATTTTCAAATATGTAATTTGAAACACAACTTCAAACCAGAAATGCTCGGTCAGCAAGGATTTTTGAAAAACAACAGAGGTAAACTACCCCTCTTGAGCAGGGGTAGATCAAGATTGTTCATCGAATGGCAACTAGATAACCATATGAGATTTTCAAATATGTAATTTGAAACACAACTTCAAACCAGAAATGCTCGCTCAGCAAGGATTTTTGAAAAACCCTTCTGAGGGGGTGAACTGGAATTATTTTACAAGTAGCAACTAGTTATTCAGTCAAATACCTGTATTATCGAATATGAGCGAAAACGTCTGGTCGGCAAACTTCAATTTTGGTCAGCAAATTATATTTCCTCCACTTTTGGATTCGCCTGGCTCAAGTTCACAGCGCCAAGTTTATTTTTTTAATAATTTTCACACTTCAAAATATATGGGAGATGGTGACGTTACTTAACACCCTTTGATCCATCACAATACAAATTTCTAGCCTTACAGACAAACCGTTATATAAAAGGTTTGTATTGTATTTGTAGTCGGCTCTTGGACTATAATGCCTCATTCATTGGAAACTTAAGATATCATTTATATTCATTCATGTGGAGAATAATTCGTTCTATAGCATTTCTTGGTAGGTATAGTTTATCCAAAAACAATTACAGAATCTTGTGCCGCACCTGCAGTCACTTCAAAGGAATTCTCAAACACGCCGACGCCGCACAGTGCGGGTTATTCAGCAATTGATATTGTATATACTATACTAATGTATTGGTAGTAATATTATAATATACAAATCGATTAATTAACTATATTTGACTGTGTGATATTTTATTAGTCCCTTGAACTGTGACATGAAAAATATTGGACGTTATAACAATTGAAGGCAAGTATCACAATGAAGGCATCCTGCTTCAGAAGCTCCTACATATCTACAAGTAGCTTATTGTTGCTCACGTGGGGAAACATACTTTTAGGAGAAGTTCACCAGAATATAAAAATACTCAGATACCTTCTCATCACTCTTATTTCGTATGAATTGTGGTTGCACGACTCGTAGGCCTCCTACTTCAAAAGCTGCTGGTTTCCATAGTAGTACGATTAACAAGAGTTTGGTTAACATTAAGTACTAGTAGACCAGAATCTCAAAATAATTCAAAAATACACAAAGCTATCACGTTTCTTTCTGCTCATCGATCTTAGCTGCATAGTGCACAATCTTGTTCCTCAATTCGAAAGTCATCCTGCACTTTAGGGCCAGATAAGCTATCTCCCAATACAACACAAGGGAGATGAGCAAGTAACAGAACTGGAGCTGCGGATTGGAGTTCGGCATACCCGTTTCGGTCATGAATAGTATACTAGTCGTTGCATTACCGCACACGCAAGTTCCATTTCTGAATCATTTTGCACATCGCAGGATATAGTGATTGGCACAGGTGCCTTTCGATAAGATACAATGTTTTTACATGCCTTTGAGACATGTATCATGTCGTTATCAAATGGCTGTCGAAATTTGAAGCCGGCTCTTGGACTATAATGATTCTTTCATTAGAAACTCTAGATATCATTTATATTCCTTCTTGTGGAGAATAAACCATTTTGTAGTATTTCTTGGTACAAGGTATTGGTACGGATATTAATATACAAATGGATTATTTAACTATATTCAACTGTCTGATATTTTATCAGGGCATTGAACTGTGACATAAACAATATTGGACGTTACAACAATTGAAGGCAAGTATCACAATGAAGGCATCCTGCTTCAGAAGCTCCTACATATCTACAAGTAGCTTGTTGCTCACGTGGGGAGACATACTTTTAGGAGAAGTTCACCAGAATATAAAAATACTCAGATACCTTTCCATCACTCTTATTTCGTATGAGTTGTGGTTGCACGACTCATAGGCCTCCTACTTCAAAAGCTGCTGGTTTCCATAGCAGTACGATCAACAAGAGTTTGGTTAACATTAAGTACTAGTAGACCAGAATTTCAAAATAATTCAAATACACAAAGCTATCACGTTTCTTTCTGCTTAACGGTCTTAGCCGCATAATGCACAATCTTGTTCCTCAATTCGGAAGTCATCCTGTACTTTAGGGCAAGATAAGCTATCACTCTGTACACCACGGATGAGGGAGATTAGCAAGTACCAGAACTAGAGCTGCGGATTGGAGTTGGGCATCTTCATTTCCGTCATGAGTATAGTATACTAGTGGTCGCATTACCGTACACGAAAGTTCCATTTGTGAATCATTTTGCACAAGAAAGTGATTGGCACAGGTGCCGTTGGATAAAATACAATGTTTCTACATGACTTCGAGAGATAGGACTATAATGCCTCATTCATTGGAAACTTGAGATATCATTTATATTCATCCATGTGGAGAATAAACCGTTCTATAGTATTTCTTGGTAGGTATAGTTTATCCAAAAACAATTACAGAATCTTGTGCCGCACCTGCAGTCACTTCAAAGGAAACCTCAAACACGCCGACGCCGCACAGTGCGGGATATTCAGCAATTGATATTGGACATACTATACTAATGTATTGGTAGGAATATTATAATATACAAATCGAGTAATTAACTATATTTGACTCTCTGATATTTTATTAGTCCCTTGAACTGTGACATGGAAAATATTGGACGTTACAACAATTGGCAAGTATCACAAAGAAGGCATCCTGCTTCACAAGCTGCTACATATCTACAAGCAGCTGCCTGCTCAGGTGGGGGAAACATACTTCAACTAAAAGTTCACCTCGAATACGTTTGCAATTTCATCTCTGCTATGAATAAGTACTCTAGTAGTATGAGTTGTGGTTGCACGACTCGGCCTCCTACTCCACAGGCTGCTGGTTTCCATAGTAGTACAATCAACAAGAGTTTGGTTAACATCAAGTACTAGTAGACCAGAATTTGAGAATAACTCGAAAATACACAGGAATATCACGTTTCTTTCTGCTTAACGATCTTAGCTGCATAATGCACAATCTTGTTCCTTAATTCGGAAGTCATCCTGCACTTTAGGGCCAGATAAGCTATCTCCTTATACAACACGAGGGAGATGAGCAAGTACCAGAACTGGAGCTGCGGATTGGAGTTCGGCATACCATTTTCGGTCATGAGTAGTATACTAGTCGTTGCATTACCGCACACGAAAGTTCCATTTCTGAATCATTTTGCACATCAGGATATAGTGATTGGCACAGGTGCCGTTCGATAAGATTCAATGTTTTTACATGCCTTTGAGACATATATCATGTCGTTATCAAATGGCTGTCGAAATTTGCAGCCGGCGGCTCTTGGACTATAATGATTCTTTCATTAGAAACTCTAGATATCATTTATATTCCTTCTTGTGGAGAATAAACCATTTTGTAGTATATCTTGATACAAAAGGTATTGGTAAGGATATTAATATACAAATGGATTATTCAACTATATTCAACTGTCTGATATTTTATCAGGGCCTTGAACTGTGACATAAACAATATTGGACGTTACAACAATTGAAGGCAAAAGTATCACAATGAAGGCATCCTGCTTCAGAAGCTCCTACATATCTACAAGTAGCTTGTTGCCCACGTGGGGGAACATACTTTTAGGAGACGTTCACCAGAATATAAAAATACTCAGATACCTTCTCATCACTCTTATTTCGTATGAGTTGTGGTTGCACAACTCGTAGGCCTCCTACTCCAAAAGCTGCTGGTTTCCATAGTGGTACAATCAACAAGATTTTGGTTAACATTAAGTACCAGTAGACCAGAATTTGAATATAATTCGAAAATACACAAGACTATCACGTTTCTTTCTGCTTGACGATCTTAGCTGCATAATGCACAATCTTATTATTCCTCAATTCGGAAGTCATCCTGTACTTTGGGGCAAGATAAGCTATCGCTCTCTACGCCACGAGGGAGATTAGCAAGTACCAGAACTAGAGCTGCGGATTGGAGTTGGGCATCCTCATTTCCGTCATGAGTATAGTATACTAGTGGTCGCATTACCGTACACGAAAGTTCCATTTGTGAATCATTTTGCACAAGAAAGTGATTGGCACAGGTGCCGTTGGATAAAATACAATGTTTCTACATGACTTCGAGAGATAGGACTATAATGCCTCATTCATTGGAAACTTGAGATATCATTTATATTCATTCATGTGGAGAATAAACCGTTCTATAGTATTTCTTGGTAGGTATAGTTTATCCAAAAACAATTACAGAATCTTGTGCCGCACCTGCAGTCACTTCAAAGGAAACCTCAAACACGCCGACGCCGCACAGTGCGGGATATTCAGCAATTGATATTGGACATACTATACTAATGTATTGGTAGGAATATTATAATATACAAATCGAGTAATTAACTATATTTGACTCTCTGATATTTTATTAGTCCCTTGAACTGTGACATGGAAAATATTGGACGTTACAACAATTGGCAAGTATCACAATGAAGGCATCCTGCTTCACAAGCTGCTACATATCTACAAGCAGCTGCCTGCGTTCACCTCGAATACGTTTGCAATTTCATCTCTGCTATGAATAAGTACTCTAGTAGTATGAGTTGTGGTTGCACGACTCGGCCTCCTACTCCACAGGCTGCTGGTTTCCAAAGTAGTACAATCAACAAGAGTTTGGTTAACATTAAGTACTAGTAGACCAGAATCTCAAAATAATTCTAAAGTACACAAAGCTATCACGTTTCTTTCTGCTTAACGATCTTAGCTGCATAATGCACAATCTTGTTCCTCAATTCGGAAGTCATCCTGTACTTTAGGGCAAGATAAGCTATCACTCTGTACACCACGAGGGAGACGAGCAAGTACCAGAACTGGAGCTGCGGATTGGAGTTAGGCATCCCCATTTCCGTCATGAGTAGTTCGGGGTTCCGGTAGTGGCAGTAGTAGTCGTCACATTGCATTGGCTTCCTCTTGTTGAAGATGGAGCTGGTCACTCCGACTAGGCCGTACCGCATGTAACTAGTCGACATCATTACTTTCATGAAGGGTTCGATAGCGGCTCCATAACCCATTCCGTATACGGCGAACGCTAGAAGGATGGCCAGAATATGGGGGGCAACCACCGATCCATTCTGAAAAGAAATATTCTTCAAAACTTGAATACCATCAATAATTCTGCGGCGACTACATTTTTTTTTGTTTTGTAATTAAATCAGAAAAGTCAATCAATTTCTTAGATTCCCATAGTTATTTATTAGACAAGGAAGAAAGTATCAGATTGTATATCCCCAGGTTGGGCTTCGCGTCGAGAGACAAAAAACCCTGAGATAAAATTTCATATTGTTCCCGTGTATGATACACTATTTACTCCTGTGACAGGAAAAAAGATGAATCAATAATGAGAAGATATCACATCATATTGAATCATGAAATAATCGTCGTGAAAAGTTTTTAACTGCAATTACACCTGCTTCGCAGACATAATTCTGAAGTGATCAAATATCTGTCAGTCTAATTCTGTGAATTGATATTAAAAAATAGCCAACCTAGTGGTTCTTACTCGGAGACGGTGTTATTGGCTTATTTTTCGAAACTAGCACAACGGAAGCCACCAACAGTGTATATATCCGGGAAGCAAGTACCCACTTTTCAGCCGTGGAAAGATAGTAATTTTCGTAACGAGTCCGGGAAATACTGTTTATTTTTGGGAGAGTATACAAGATCTAGGTCGGGCCGTAGGCGAGTCCCGGAAGTCTGCGAGTCCAAAAAAACTATTTTTGGACGTGTTGCGTACACTGTTTTTCCGGCAACCATGTAGAATAACAAATCAATGAGACACATTTCCATATTATATCTCTATGTAGAACACAATTTCTCCTTTATTAATTCTCATTTGTATCAAATACTGAAATTTGAACAGAATACATATACCTACTAACTGTTACATTGGAAATTTCGTGTGGACAGTTTCAAACTCACTATCGCAGCTGCTTTCGATAGTTCATTACGATAAGTGCAACCAAACTTTCAAAAATCGAAATGTCAACTAATTTCATGTCAAATAGCTGTCAGCCGATACCTCGCTGCTATGTTAATTATCATCTGCATGTATCAAAACCAAATCTTCCAAAATTCTCATAGTTACAGTGACAACAACGATGTGATACTTCCCAGCCTAGTCCGAGAAGTACGTACTTCTCGGACTAGGCCGGAAAAATGCTACTTTTTCAAAGAAAAAGCGTCCGGGAAGAGAGCAATTTCCGAACGGTTGCCGAAAAGGAAAATTTATGAATAGTGACATTTCATAACCTGTCAACAGAGGTGAAATGTCTAACTTTCTTCCCGTTACAGAAAAAGATGTATTTTGAAGTGACGCACAATTAATTTTTTCCCGTTCATAGTTCAATTTTCTGAATGGAATTTCTTGTTAATTAAAAGAATTTGAAAAATGTGATATTTTGGCAAAGCTCTGGAATTCATTGCCTGAGGAAGTATTTCCAAGAACTTCCAATATACCTTTCTCCTCTCCCTATCTTCCCTAGGTACTCACGATGGTCTACGAACATTATAGGGATTTCCTTTCGTGCGCTCCGAGCGATAATAAAAATACTGTCTCATATCGATGTATTCGTATGTACTTATTTCAAAAACACCTGATATCTTCTTGAAAACTTCATGATAGAAGTAGAAGAACTGATGGCTCGTTACATCTATAGATACTTGTGAATTGATCTTCATCGGAACATTTAGAAAAATAATGGAAATTGTATCGTAAGAAACGTCCATAGGACATTGTATCAAGAAGAAAAATAGTTTTGTTTATTGAAATGGAAAATTAATACTTACTAGTATTTCAAAAGATGCACCAATCGCTAGCCCTAGCCCTTGGGAACAAATTGCCGAGGCCAGAGAAACTGTGAAGAACCAAAAGAATCTATGCCATTCCAGTGGTTGGTAGGACAGAGTATAAACTATTATACAAAACATCAGTAAATTGAGAACCTGTGAAAGATATAACAGAATATTATGAAATATCTGGTACAGAAAAGTACAGATCAGTGTTTTCTGATAGATATTATTATGTATATCCTGCAGTTGAATAATACAATTTTTTCACGTTATTGTTTCAAAATTGACACACATGAAATGTAGTGTGAGGGCTGTGAAGGAATGATAATCATATGGGTGCAAATCAGGTAGGTCATTTCAAATCTCACACATTTCCTGCGGAATTCGATTTGATAGGTACTCACCAGAAGTGGAATGTTCACAACCGTAGTAGCACAAAAATACGCCTTCAGTCCAAACCATCGATTGAAATATTCGCGCTTGAGAAGATGCACTTCCATTGGAACTGCAATAAGGGAGAATAATGATAAGTATACTCTTGAAACATGAGGGAATGTATGCGATAAGTATAAAACCCAAAGAGGAAAAGTAGTTATTTGTAATACAATGAAAAAAAGTAGTAGATTTCATCTGGAGGTTGTACGGATAAGGAGAAAAAACCATGGGCTGAACTTGGGAAGATTTTTCATTATATTAAAATCAGAAAATCATCGACATGAAATTTGGATTTTTTAACACCTTTTTAAGATATCTGTCAGTTTAATTCTGTGATTTGATTCCATGAACTTGCGAATTTATGGCGGATTTATGCAACATTTGCATAGTCCTAGTCTTAGTTCTGAGCATAGTCTTATTATTAATTTTTGTCTTGAAGATTCGAGGTATTTATCCAGAAACATTAAAACTTGATTGAAGCATAACAGTGATGTGAGAATTTGTGGTTCTTTTTGCATCAGAGATGAAGAAAATTATCTAACAAACTTATTTACATCTGAGCTTTCTCATAATATTATTTTCGGAACATGTAAACAACAAATCATCAATAATTCTATTAAAGGAGCATGCGCCGAATCCACATAACCGTAGAACTTCTCACAAAAACCGATGACACTAGCATAATTATTTAATAGTTTTGCTTCATGATGCCGATGTGTACGGTTTTGAAAGGTAGCTTATCTTATACTTACATACTAATACAGGTGACATGACGTAGGTATACATAACGAATACGTTGATCAGGATACAAAATTTGAAAACTGACATCGTTTGGCTTGCAGAATCTCCGGTTCCGAAAAATATCCCGCCAATCAGTAAGCCGGAAAAGAGGTGGTGGAAGAACTGTATATACAACATGGACTTATTTCTGCTCATCTGCAGGAACATTCGAGATGACAGGACCAGAAACTGAGTCCAGAACGATGTGGGGAATGTTATATCATCTCGTGTTATACCTTCGAAAACAAAAAACATCAATGAATATGACGCGATTTATATCAACATGGGGAAAAGTATCTTTTATAGAGTAATTCGGGGTGACTCAAATCAGTTTTTTATCCCGTTAGTTTCATAGGAACAATTTTGGTACCTACTAGTGTAACTATTCGATATTGATACTATGATTGATATTGTTATTGTATTGTAATGTTATTCCCCTTAGAAAGGCTCTAGAAACATCAGCAGGAAGGCAGGAGTACGATCATCCTGCAACACGCATCCCAGATTGTTCTCGAACATCCCAATATATGTCGCGGTGATAAATAACGTGACAGAAGAATCTGGAATGTTCTGGAAACAATCGATGGAACAATGAGAAAGAGAGAGAGAGGTATTGTTCTAAGAATCTTCTATAACAAAAAGAAGGGTACGGAAGATCATTCGAGAACGTTGGAGAAGCAAAGCCTACCAAGGGATATATATGGACGGCCGGACAACTGCAGTCAGTCAGTCAAGCAGCGAGTGTCAGAGATACATTCATATACCGCTTCACATAAATAGTAGTAGTTCCATTGGCACCCCGAACCGACTGATGAGTTGATTCATTAGGACATCGGCGACAGTTACGGCCTCCTGATTAGGAATCGCATACGCTTCTACCCACTTGGTGAAGTAGTCCATGCAGACAAGGATGAGGCTTCCATGTGACTTGGTCTTGGGATATAGACCTGGTGAAGACATAGTGGGGGAAGATTACGTTACGAATCTGATGAAAAAGATGAACGATATTCACGAGTTGGTTCGTTCTAATCTGAAAATCGCCAGCGATCGCATGAAAGACCGATACGACATCAGAGCTGGGGGTGCAGGATACGCAGAAGGAGACCTTGTGTGGTTGTTCAATCCACAAAGGATACGAGGTATTTGTCCAAAACTACAGAGATCTTGGGAAGGACCTTATACCGTCAAGAAGAATAAGATCAACGATGTTATCTACCGCATCAGTAAAGAATCAAGTGGCAAACCAAGAGTCGTCCATTTCAACAGACTAGCACCATTCGAGGGAACACAAGATCAACAAGTTCAACAAATTTGTCCGGAAGAAAAGGAGCTTACATTCGACGAATTCATTGGGACATACAGTGGTTCATCAAAAGCAAGGTTTGGCGTCACCAAGGAAGAGCACCACGACCTTTTTGCCATTCCTGTAGAATACGCACTAGCTCACTGCGTCGCCGAGGATCTTCAGATGTCTCAAGGAATAGCGAACAAGTTCATGAGGAAGTTTGGGAAGTTAGAGGAGCTTCGTCAACAAGATCCCTCCGTCAGTCGAGCACTATAAATAGAAGATATCAGCGCTGAAGGAAAAAGGTCTGTGTTTTATCTTATAACGAAAGCAAGATCATCTGAGAAACCCACTTACAAGGACCTCTGGGAGACGCTAGTCGACTTGCGAAGCACCATACTCGAGAAGGACATACAGAAGATAGCTGTTCCAAAGCTGGGGTGTGGACTGGATGGCTTGAATTGGAGAGTTGTAAGGAACATGCTGGAGGTTGTATTTAGATTCACCGGGGACGAAATTCTGGTATGCTGCTAAAACTCCAAGGGAATTCCAAGAGAGAAGACAGTGCCATGCTATTTCTACCATACTGCACGTTGTAAAAATGGAACCAGTTGTCCCTATCTTCATAACGATCGGAGTGCATTCCAGGAGGAATGCGTTTCAAGGAGGGGGCAGTGTAATGATATTCCCCTTGGAGGGGCTTTAGAAACATCAGCAGGAAGGCAGGAGTACAACGATCATCCTGTATCACGCATCTCCGATTGCTCTCCAACCTCTCAATGATTCCTACATACACCAGCATATTTCCGAATACTCAATATATGCCGCAGTGACAAATAACGTCACAGAAGATCCTGGAATGTTCTGGAAACAATCGATGGAACAATTAGAGAGAGAGGTTTTGTTCTAAGAAGCTTCTTGAACGAAAAGAAGGAGACGGAAGATCATTCGAGAACGTTCTCGACCAAAGCCTGCCATATGTGTTCTCATATATAAGACGGCCGAACAACTGAGTCAGTCAGTCGAGCAGCGAGTGTCAGAAAGACAGTTATATACCGCGTGATATAAATCGTTTTACATAAATAGTAGTTATAAGTTCGATATAAATTAGTGTTTCTTTATTTCAAATAAATCAGTTCGAAAATAAATAGTGTCGTAGTCGTGTTCGCTTCTGCACCCGAATAACGTAACAATATAAATTAGTGTTCCTATAATTAAAATAAATAGTGCCGTGTTCGCTTCTGCACCCGAATAACATAAACTGTATGATTGTTTGTTTGCTTGAAGCTATATATATCCTCCAAATCAATCAAACAAGGGCGGACAGAACTGCTTCAGTATAATATGAGTTGATAGATTGTCTGCTGTCTGGTGACTACTCTACACTGATGGAAGGCCAAAACCCCGACCTGTATAAGAGTCGAGCGTTTACCTGGCCACAATCTGCGAATTCACTAGATTGCAAGCCCAAATGGCATAAACAAATTAATGAATTGATACAAACACTAAGTATGACACTCAATGAATTCAGGTTACTGAGAAACATTATCAGTCGGATATTGATTATCAGTTTCTATTATAGTCCTTTTCAAGCAATTTTGGCTGATGGCATAATATGCTGGGGAGGTCTATGAAAACAAGCGTTATATAAATTCAAAGATATACTTTGAAAATCAAAAAACCTTTCGAATATTGTTCCGAAATTCTCTTTGACCATTATAACATTTCATCTGTAGATCGATTGTTTTTTATAACATCATCTACAATACCTCTACATTCGAAAACATTTTGCAAAACGATAATCATTTGAAACATAAATATGACACTAAATCTAAAATCGATAGTTGGATATCAACTGAGGATTTCTCTTCAACTTTAATGCAACAACATGCCATTCATATAGGAAAAAAAACTTGCAATAAATTGCCCACCTCTTTGGAGAAAATCATGTTTCTATAGTTATTTTTAGATAATATACAGTGTGTCCCACTTACCATGCTCACCATGGGTATCTTTTTAATGGTGAGAGATACGAGGTCGGTTAAATGACACCAAATGTGGAGTTTGTCAAAGTCAACTATAATGTGAAAACATATTTTGATAGAATCTATTCGTTTTTGTCTTATACGCAAAAAACAGATTTTGATAATTTTTTCATGTCTCCTCCGTATCTTCTTTATTTATGAAAATATTCAAATAGGAATTTTACATTCTCATGGCAGTTTTTCAAAGTGGTTTGGAAAAAAATATGAAATTTATACCAACTCTTCTAGAATTTGAGATATCAGCACCAACTTAAGTTTTTTGAATGTAGAGGTCATGTCTCATTATGACTTAGTTACAAATAATTTTTTTCTCACAGATGATATGTCGCAGTAATAGTTTTGTGTTGATAACAACGGAGTTATCGTCATTTATACAAAAACTAAAAAATATTTGGAAGCCGCCATCTTGAATTCATAAATTTTAACAAAAAAATCATGATCTTCGACCTCGAAAACCCCCACTTACCAATTTTGAATGGAATCGGACCAAATCTTGTCCGCCATCTTGGAGCTAGCAGCCATTTTTTTTAACAAAAATTCCATCATCCCAATCAACTTGGAATTTAGCAGGTGTTTATGATTTCGGTGACAAAACATTATGGAATTTTTGTTGAAATTAAAAAAAATGTAATTTATTGTCACCGAAATCATGAACACCTTTTGTTTTTGTATAAATGATGATAACTCCGTTGTTATCAACACAAAACCATTACTGCGACATATCATCTGTAAGAGAAAAAAAAGTTATTTCTAACTAAGTCATAGTGAGCTATGACCTACATTTGAAAAACCAAAGTTGGTGCTGATATCTCAAATTCTAGAAGAGTTGGTTCAAATTTCATATTTTTTTCGAAACCACTTTGAAAAACTGCCATGAGAATGTGTGATTCCTATTTGAATATTTTCATGAATAAAGAAGTTACGAAGGATACCTGAAAATGATCAAAATCTGTTTTTCCGTATGAGACAAAAACGAATAGATTTTATCAAAATATTTTTTCACATTATAGTTGGCCTTGACAAACTCTACATTTGGTGTCATTTAACCGACCTCGTATCTCTCACCGTAAAAAGATACCCATGGTGAGCATGGTAAGTGGGACACACTGGAGATATGTTCTCATTTTGTGAATTGTACTCAATGAGAACATGAATTTTAGTTAGTTAGTTCTCAAGTTTTTGATCTTGTTTTCATAAAAAAATAGTATAATACTATCGATATAGTATGCTGAAATTTATGTTATTTCAAAAATGAATAATTTAAAAAAATGTTAAGGCAATTCGGCATGTAGGAAAGAAATACGTGCGATCAGTATTCGTTCATATACGAATCATTACATGAATTCCGGGAGGATATAATTCATTGTTCTACGTGATATTAGCCAGAAAAGAAGTTAATTTTCTTTCGACATTCACCATTGTTGTTCATTCAAGGAATAGTTGTGGAAATTACTTCGAGTTTTTGCTTTCCATTTACTACTCCAGAATCAAACCAAAGGTTTTTTTACCTTTATCCTTACCTGATCGCGTTGTGTCTTGACAAATTTCATACATTTCGTTGGAATGTTGTGTAACAGATTTACTCTCTATTTTATCTCTTAGATTGCATTTACCATTCTGTATCTGGTTCTGGAGGATATTGATGTTTTCTGGATTGGACTGTATAAGTTCTATAACTGGAAATCGAAAATAGACATGTTACGAAACTATAGGTAACTGGGGGTAGGTACCTCTTACTAAAATCAGCTGGTGTAGAAGTAGATGGACACACGCAATTGGCTAACAACATGAAGGGTACTAATTGTGCAGGAGATCCATTGAACACGCAGTATCCATTGGCCATAATATATACCTGAAAATTGAATTAGATGGAATCAATTTTTGTTTCTGAGTGTGAATGAAGCACGAATGATTAAATATTATTAATAATGATAATTCTTTTGATGATACAAATATACATGTAAGATTAGTCAAATTGTCAGAATCAAAGATTCATAATGAGAAAAATTCTCCTACACTGTAAAAACATTTATCTACTGAAAAAGTTCTAAGCCTACGTTTGAATAAAGATAGATATAGATTCACTATTTTCATGATGTCCGGTAAATGATTGGTAATTTTGGGGCCAATATAGTTTGGAACAACAGAAGTTATTTTGAATTCAGAATATGGTACATTGAAAATATTTTCGCGTCTTATATCAATTTGATGAAAAGTGCTATTTACTACATGACATTTTGTTTGTTTTCAAATACATGTACACATGTTTCGAATATAAGAATACAAGGCAATGTCAGAATATGAAACTGAAGAAACAAATCCTTGCATGTGCTTCTTCTCGATACTCTGCCAATATATACGTAACAATACGTTTTTTTTATGTTCCGGTTCCCATGAAACGGAATGTCCTGTAATGTTCAGAGAACATCGTGAGAACCAAGGAAAATAAGGTAGGAATTGGTGTTCTCTTTAAATTTCTGGAGGTTATATGCCTCGGGGAACACCTTCCTTGGCAATGTATTCCAGAACCTCACTGTTCGTTGGATAAACAAGTCTTTGAAAGGAGATGTCTGCAGGTCTCCGAAGTGACCACGAAGAGGTGCGAAGCCTCAACTCGACGGGTTAATCTCGCGGGGACTGCCAAGGAAGGAACAATTGTTGATATTTCAGAAGAGCATCGTCCATGGAAATATCTATAAGACAGAACCAGATCTCCAACTTTCTTACGATGTTCCAGAGAAGTGAGTGAGTTTGTGAGCGAGGCATCACCCACGGAACGCATTGCTCTTTTTTGGACAGAATCCAACAGTTTCAGGGTATGTTCGGGTGCTGCACTCCAAATATGGAAACAGTATATCAGGACAGGTCGGATCTGTGCCTTATAGATCATAAGCAGCGGACTGGAAGTGAAATAGCTCCTGGCCCGAAACAGAGAACCAAATTTTTGGGATGCACTTTCAGCAATTGATCTCACGTGATTTTCCCAAGAAAGGTTATTGCTGATAGTAATACCAAGCATCGAGATGGATGTCTTCAAAGGTATGGTGAGATCGGCTTTTCTAGACAAGTCATTGGAACCCCATTCGAGAATTATTGCCAAGTCCATATTTATGTTGTCAACATTTCTTCCTCGTTCGTTCCTGATTTGCCTAGCTGGTATTGGAGCCCTGGAAGAGAAGGCGGTATGGAGGGTATTATCATCCGCGAAGCTGTGTACTGGACATGAAGTTGCTTCCAACAAATCGTTGATATGGAGTAGAAATAGTGTTGGTGCTAGAATTGATCCTTGCGGAACACCAGCATTTATGATAAGAGAGTCAGATGGAACTCCGTCGACCACTACATAGAGAGACCTGTTTGAGAGAGAACTAGCTTGCAGAGAACATAGCTGGATAGGCAAGCCATAAGATGGAAGCTTGGCGAGAAGTCTGTGATTCCAGACTCGATCGAATACTTTGGAGATATCAAGTGCCACGGCTAAGGTTTCACTATATTTTTCAATAGATTGCGATTAACACATTTTTGGCCATTGTGGAATGGCCCCAAAGGCAGACACCATGCCCAACAATAGACAATAACCTGTGACTTCTCAGCATATTGAATACGGTTGACTAACTATTACTGAAAATGATAACTACAATTTTTTTCAGCGTTCGTACAGGGCAATAATCACCTTGCATATGACTATCTCGCCGAAATATACAGAGAAATGACTCTTCTAGAGGAATATTAGTCGATTTACAACTTGAGTTGATTATAAACTAGTACAAAAATCTGCTAAGTAGTGACTCTTTTGTACCGGGATCATAGATTGGTTATGGATTTAAGGATTCCAATATTCTACCTGGTCAAAATTCTGGAAAAGTGATGCAGGTGGCTGGTGGATGGTACATATCACAGTTCTGCCTTGTTTTGTTATTCTTTGAAGAAGTTCCATACATTGTTTTATTGCAACATTATCCAAACCTCTGAAACATAAATTTGATATTAATATGCATTAATTTACTTGTCGTTCCAATATGACGTCATTTCAGGGTGGATCGTGAAATTCAGACAAAATTTCCGTATTGTAAAAATGCACCGCAGGCAAATTTTTGAGTTCAAAGCCTAATATGCCTTGAGATTAAGAATTAAATATCTTCCAGATAGTGATAACAACTCTATTTCAAAATGGGCTGCAGGCATTGTTTGGATTCAAGGTACAATAATGACATCAAATTGATTTTTTTCAGGCACAGTGACAACTATGACCTCATCCCATTATCATATTATAAATTATTCACATTCATGTTCTCAGTTTGTTGTAGTTGATATAAAGTGATCTGAAAATAATAATAAGAAGAACATGTGAAAAGTATTTAGATACTATCTGTAGATTAACTGCTGAGCATCAGGTGGATGTTCACCAGATTTTTTGTATTTGCTATCATACTTTCATTACTTGAATGAAAAAATGTCATTGACGATTGAAGATTACGTCAACTACTGGTTTAGTGGTGACAATGATTTTTACCGAGCAAGGGAAACTGACTCATTTTTTCAATTTAGCGAAATGATTCAGAGATCTAATTCACTCAAATTTGTTCATCTTATCCAAATCAAAAACTTTCACTCAACAGCAAATCAGTCTATTGTTAATAATTTGTTATATGCGTTATTCCGTTGATATTATGTCAGATTGCTGAGGGCGTCAATTTTTCAATTCTAGGAAAATCTGTTATTCGCTTCTTTATTCAGTTATACTTTATGTATCCGATATCTTCCGTCAAGCTGAATGATTTGTCGAAACATTTTCAAATAATATAAATTACAGGGTGATTTTTTCAGAATGGGCAATCTCTGAACTACAGATAGTGAACACCACAAAAATGGATATTCAGCCATTTTAGTCCAACAGGCCTTATACCAATGTTGCAGATACAGGGTGTTCAAAGAAAGATTTCATTTTAAATTACCCCGGTCAAACAATTACTTTGGAATTTTGTTTGTCTTATGGCCTTGTTACTGATTGTCATTATTGTTTACTGTCCTTTTTTTCCACTGTCACTACGATAACTTGATAATTCAAAATAATAAAAATGTTGAAAGTGAAACAAACACGTCTTCAATAGCGAATAACGAAAAAAACCATCAGAGTCAAAATTTGAGATTTTTGACTTATTGTAATCATCATTAGACGGACAAATACCACTATCGCCCTTTATGAGGAATCATAAAATGAGTTACGAATTCGTATTTTCTATGTCAAAAAACCTTAGACGACAAAATTGCATGTTCATACGATCAGAACTCACGAAGTTATTGAGGAACTTTGAAATAAAATCTCTCCCTTGAACACCGTATCTTCTGAACCAGCAACATCATTACATAGATGTTATTAGGCTAAATGGACTTTACTATCTGTAGTTCAGAGATCGCCCATTCTCAATTAATCACCCTTGAATTTTTTTCAGATTCAAGTACTGATGCAATACTGTGATGTATATCGTCATGTGGTTACAGGAAGATTCTAAGTAGAATACATTTTTTACCCCCATAAAAATTAAGCCCATGGTATCAGCTATTCAACTGGACTTCTTTAAATTGATTTGTCCCCACTCCATAGCTATAGGGTACAAGTTTCCGCTTTCAGTATGGTCAATCATGGAAATGTGAGGATATTGCAAATATTACATATTTTTATAATATTTCGTGATTGTACCTGCGATCAATATGATCATCAGAGCTAATGAAATAATTATTTGAACTGGATCTCATAACTAGGAGAGTTGCTGTAATTGTCAGCACAAGCGAGGCAGTACTGTTTTGGCTTACCAGGACTCATCAACCGCCCTCGGTCTGCTGACACCTGGGACAACTCTGTTGTGGTTCATCCTAGATCTCTTAGTTATGAGATCTTGTTCGATGAATAGGATTGGGGGATAAATCCATCACTCAAGTAGTCAGCTAGTGCCATCTGTTAGCAGAATGGTTTACTTGTTGTACCACTTCGCTAGCGTTATGGACGTAGGGTTCTGTACGTTTGACTATAGATGGCAGCGTCATACAGTGTGTGCATGTGTGTGTGCATAGATTAAACATGGTGTGTGTCACGATCTTGATGATCTTGATGGTCCTAGCTTAGTACTTTGCCATTAGATGGTGATAACATGAATACATCATCATGTGATAGATGATCTATAGAAACTGTCGTTGAATACACAAATGAAGAAGGGGGTGTTTTGATATTTGACAAATCGTTTTCGATTGATTGCAAACATACTCAGACACTCACGGATACATCCCCATACTTACCCAGATGTCAACTTTACAGGTCATCATATCTTCCAAGATTGTTGACGGATACTTACGTAGTTGGTTCATCTAGGAAAATTACTGGAGGATTATTGACTAGTTCTAAGGCAACTGCTAATCGTTTTCTTTGACCACCAGATAAATGCTCTGTTCTGGTATTATTGCATTTCTCAAGACCCAATAGACGTATGACTTCATCCACCTTGAAAACAAAGTGCAGAATATATTATTTAAATAGATCAGACCAAAAGTTTGAATTTCAAAACGTTCAGTGGATATCGACAGTATAGCATACAAAAAAAAATTTGAGCCATTTCCAGTTAATTGGGTGTTTATATTGAGTTCATCGTTGTCTGGAGATGTATAGCTTATCTCTTCATTCCAACCAACTTCAACCTAGGACAAATATTCATATCTTCCATTTTTTTTCAATTTATTCCATCTTCAGAGTCAGGTTCTGAAGCAATCGATATAATTTTCATTCATCAAGAAGATAGTCAAGTAAAAAGATACGTTAAATAAAATGAGGAAACGACTTCTAGAGTTTGCCACCTCAATTTCCCTTCAATAATAGTAGTGTTTCCTTGTAGGTATAATACCTGGCCATGGTATATATAAGAACAAAAGGCATCAACTTACAACTGCTAGTTTATCGTTTTGGCTAATATTCGAACCCAACTTCAGATTGGCTGCAACAACCATGGACTCTCGTATACTAAGCCTAGGTTGGACCAGATCTTCTTGCATTATATAAGATGATAGTCTGTTGAATATCTTGGTCTGCCTCGGTTTCTTGTTGACTTTGATGCTACCTTTCACCCCAGCAGTTCTGGAATTAGAATTGAATTTCATTGTTTCTACGAAAATTAGTTGAAATTGTGCCTATTTTCCGAAAATGAAGGTTTATCGAACCTTTCCACAGGTAATTCTAATCCTTCAGGTTGAGAAATTAGGATATACAAAAGTAGGCAAGCCAAGCCCTAATAGCACACAACGTCCTAAGGACGTCCCTATTCGGTACAATTCACGTCCAATTGTCCCGGACCAAAAATAAGTATCTTTGGGACGTCCCATCCCTTACACCTCATGCAATGTCCGAGTAAGGACGTCCACGGAATGTCCCAGCTGGTACATCATTTCAATGTCCCACGTGGTACATATTTTAGAATGTCCATGCAAGGACGTCCTTGGCATCTCCCTGATGGGATATAATTTTAAACTTTCCTTTAGGGACATCCATCGGATGTCCCGAGTAGTACATATTCTGGCATGACTTCAGATCTTATATAATGTTCCTTCTAGACAACCATGAAATGTCCCTGATGGTACATTCCTTTAAATATCTCTGCACAGACGCCCTTAATATTTCCAGGATCGTATAAAATTCGAAATGTCCCTTAGGGACATCCTTCGAATGTCCCTTAGGGATATCCGTCGGATGTCCCAATTGGTACATGAACTGTACTCTCCCAATGTCCTAGAAATAACGTCCTATGGACGTCCCAGTCGGTACTTTCAATATGTTGTCCCTGCGAGGACGTTTACTTACACCTTGCCGACGAATGATTGCTCATAGGCTATAAGTACTCCTCGTCAATGTCCTTCACGTGAGTCCATTGGACATCCTTGGGAAACTTTTTGGGGACCTTCTACGGACCATCAACTCAACTGGATGTTCTAATCAGTTATGCAAGATCTGGTCCTAGAGGGACCCAGAAAAATTCAAATTCAAGAATAATTCATACGTCCCTGGGACATCCAATGGACATCCAATTGATATCTCTCAGCGTTGCTGATAGGTTGTCCTATGGATGTCCTGAGGATGTCCTCTGTAGTGCTTGATGAGGAATACTGTAGGATTTAGGACGTCCCTAGTTGGTCCTCAAGTGGGACATTTGTGCGTCCCACAGACGTCCAATGGACGTCCACGGTACCAAATTCGAACGTCCTATGGACGTCCTGAATGTCCCGACAGGACGTCCTAAGGATATCTATGGGACATAAGTGTGTTATTAGGGAGGTTAGTTTAGTTCATTGTACCAGTATTTCACCTGATGAAGCTACTGTGCGAAACATGTCGTGTTATTGAGAATTTTGAAAAAAACCTATCGTTTGTGAAGTTTTACATTATTTTTGCATTTTCATGTTGAGAACGGGAGCAGATTCGTTCCCGAAACGTCCAAAGATGAGTGGAAGTTCAATATTTTTTCAATTTCTATATTCCTCTTCTTCGAACATATTTCCAAGCAAAGTATCACTGACAAGCTATTGGATTTTTTTAGGCTCCCTGATAGAAACATTTGTTAAACGTAGTGACATTTTGGGGCAAATCATCAGATTTATCCTACTACACATATATTGTATAGTACTCATATTTTTATTTTATCGAAACGAAGAGAGAAAATCCCAAATAATCAGGTGAATTCTATTATAGAGACTGCATCATCTTTATTTCTTCAACATGGTATCGTGCTGTGTCCTCTTCAGTTTCATTCCTATGTTTGAAAACAAAATGAATCAATTGGATAAGGACATTTATTTATAGATGGAACAAGTAATATAAAATTTTCCACCAAGGTTCTTTCGTCTGTTTATTTGGTATAAATGCATAAAATTACACACACCCTCCTCAATAATAATTACCCATGAATCATAATAGGATTCAGGTTGTTTGTGCGATTTCCTCAATATGTTTTCCATGTCATATAGTTCGAACGGCGAAATATCTCAAAAAATATTATTTGAATTCTCGATGGTGAGCATAATTATGGCTTCATCTATTAGTAAGTTTACGTACGAATAATATGCTAAAATCCTATTCGTACGTTTACGTTCTAATAGGTTTCGAGGTACCTATATGTACGTATGCGTACGTATAATATGCCAATGCCTATCTGCACGTTTACGTACGAATATGGCTGGCAGTACCTATACCATTTAATTTTAGAAAAATATATCATTTGTTTTCAAAATTATCATTCACTTTCATGAACATGTTCAAATATATTTACCAACTCAAACATTCTTTACATCTACTTATGCAAAATTTGATGAATATGATATGTAATTCATTATGCTTAGTGAAATTTCTCAGGAAACTATGTTCAACATTGTTTAGGCATTGTACTGCGGTATATGGTTCACTTTTATATCAGGTGTTATTTTCATATCTCACTTTTACATCAGGATTTTTTGTGAAGATATGAAAGCATTATAGAAATTCAAATTTGATCGATTGTTTTGTCGATCACATTGATCTGAATAAATGTAGGAACTTCTTCCTATGAATGTAAGAACTTCTTCCCATATTTCTAGCACATTTTTCTCTGTGCCTAACTCATTGTGATATAACTTATTTCCAAATTGCATGTGTTTATCATTATGTTGTACGTATTCAAAATTTGAATTTGATATAATTACATGCATCAAATATACGTAATTGATCACAGTAATCGATATTTTGCAAACCGTTACGTACAATTAGAATTCTTGGTAATTATTCGCACGTGGGCGTACGGATAAAGTATCTTTACACTATCCGCACGCAATGCACAAATTCGGATGTATACGTGCGGATAGGCTTTGGCATATTTATACGTACGTATACGTACGGATAGGCTTTGACATATTATTATACGAACGAATACGTACAGATAGGCTTTGCATATCTATCCGTAAGTATACGTACGGATAATATGTCAAAGCCTATCTGTACGTATACGTACGTATAAATATGCCAAAGCCTATCCGTACGTATACGTGCGGATAGATATGGGAAAGCCTATCCGTACGCAAATATAGTTGTCAATTTACGTACGGATAACATTCTTGGTGGTTATTCGCACGTGAACGTACGGATAAAGTGCCATATCAACATTTGTACGTATTCGTACGTATGCACGCACTGCGTGCGAATAGACACTTCCCATAATTATCGAAGTAGAATCGAACATGACATACTCTACACTTCAAATTATCTCATATCTTGATGGACAGTGTCCTGGCGAATTCAATTACAATACCGAAGACTTTATGTATGAACCAACTCCCTGTTTTTTTCCAAATGAAGAGTGAATAATCGAAATATTTATTTAGTTAGATGAAGACCATCGGAATAGCTGTATGTGCAACAATAGTTTATGTATCGAGGGTGTAAAGTAGGTCCATAACAGTAAGTTACGTCCGGAATACATTCAACATTCCATGCACGACCGTTTCAGACACTTATTTACTGTCAATATGCAATGTATTAATGATTTGAATTCATTTGGCAGAATGATATATGCCACTATGGAATGGTAGTCTACTAGAGAATACTGGAAGAACGGTGACATTATTTTACCGCCCGATTACCTACTTTTCCGCCTGTTGTACCTACTCATTTGTCGCCCTAGGGTACTGAAGTATTACTTTACGCCCGCGAATCCGAGCGATAAGGTACCACTTCACACCCGGCCGTGCCGTGCATCAATTCATTGGTTGGTCCTCTATTCACCTTCCTTCAGGCGCGATCAATGTTCGATTTGGAATTTCAGCATGTCATATTTATTATTGCTAGTCAAATAAAAAAATAAACTGAGTGTTTCTGCTCTAGCACACTTATGGATTGTTGAACTTCGGTCCCCAGAGTTTTTGAGTACATGAATACACTCTTACACGTCAGATCGAATGAAGATAACTTGAAATTTCACAAAATCACAATAATTAGTATGTCGGTGAAACTTTTACCCAACCAATAGCTTTTGAAACCGTTCATGAGTCTGGGTAAAAATTAGGCTATTTATTAGGTAATCCAAAAGATAAGGTGGACACACTTGGAAAGTCAGGAATATCCGAAATGATTTGTGTGATGATCGTGATAAATCATACATAAGCCAAACCAGGCGACCCATAAAAACAAGGATCAAGGAAACACCTACTATAGTTGAGCAAGTTGATAATGTGAGGAAATTAGATGCATATAAAAGCTTAGAGATATTTAAGAATAGTAATAAAGTAATTATTGAAGATAATGGACCTATTCCATATAGCCCTCTGTATAGTTTAGTGATATAAGATCAAGGTGAACATGTGAACTCAATCATGACAAACATTGATTTGTCGATTAGTGTCTTTCACGATTGAGTGCACATATACTCAGTATATAAGTAGCACACAATAGAATATTTATATTCAATCTTCTGCTGAAGGTGCCAACATAGTAAGCGAAACACGTGTCGAGGTGTTTAAAAAATCGGTATGGTCAGTGGTAAAACAGTGTAGTGTAATACAGGGTGTCTCACATCTCATGAAAATACCCTTGTATATCCCACATAACTCACCATAATTGTTAAAGAAGGATTCTGAAATTCTCAGGAGCGAGAGAGATAACAGAAAAACTTTCCCCCGTGACATTGATTGATATATTACGCTTAAGCGTAAGCGTAATATATCAATCAACGCCCGTGATTATCTAATCGTTGGGATTGGTCTTATTGACCATTAGATTGGTAAAACGGTACGTTTTTGTCGCAGTTCTCAAATTTGATTTCTAAAAGATTCTAGATAGAAATTTCATTCGAGATATGAATGATACAAGTTCCCATTGAATTTCTTCCGATAACCATTATCAGAGATCCAACCATTAAATTATGTAGGTACAAATAGCATACAGAGTGAAGTAATGCTGCCATAACAATAAATAATAAATTGCGAAAGAGCTGCCGTAACTGTGTTATCAAATAATGGAAATCATACAGCTTCTCAACTGGAATGGGTTACACGCTTTTTCAATGCTCCGTCACAACAAACAACTTTCTTTCGAGTGTAATACATGTTATTAAATCTCTCTGACAATTTCCTACATAAATAATTAAATGATGACCAATCACTTGGTTCAAATGCGTTGGCCATTCACGTACGAATAACAACAACAAAAAAAGTACAAGATATCGTCAAAAATTGTTCGTCTGGGAAGTGTTTATATTTATCCGTTGTTTGAGGAAGTAGAACTTTTCAGGTCTTGTCCGGAAAGTACAGGAAAGACATACATCGAGTATTGAAATCTAGGTATACCATCAGTATATCACTATTATAGCTCATTTTTGGCCCAGTTCATTACAAATATTCGCTTCGATAATTCAAGTGTTATCCAACATATTATCGAGATTTAGTTTCAAACATTTCACTTTACTGTGACGAAATGTTCACTGTTCAATGAAGCATTCTTTGAACCGTGAAATAACTAGGTGAGTATATACATCCTATTCATCATCAATATCCCAAAAAATAATTCCATCAGCAATACTCTTTCATATGAAAATAAGCATGTCAGTACTATCCAAAGGTGTTTCACGAAACCTCGGATTTTGTGCGAGAACCTATTTTACACCGCAACAGCGATGATCTACAAATAAGCTCAGATACGGCCTGTTCTAAAATGACTGTTGCCTTATATGGGGTTCAGCACCTAAACATTCGCTGATGCTCTTAGATTCTGTCCATCAGAGAAGAGCCATTCGCCTGATGAGTGATGCCCGAGGTGATGCCACACTCACTAATTCTTTGAGATCATTGGAACACTGTAAAAAAGTCGGGGAACTTTCACTTTTATTCATAGATTGGATTTCAGAAAGTGTCATTTGTATTTCAGAGATTATCATTTGAAATTCAACTGACGGTTTCTGAAATACAATTGACTACATTCTGGAATACAATTGACCCTGTCTGAAATTGACTTGATCATTTTGGAATACAATTGACGCTTTTTGAAATACAAGGGATTATTGTGATATAAGTACAATTGAAACTTTCTGAAATTGAATTGATGCTTTCTGAAATGCAGGTGGAGGAGGTGTAGTAATCAGAACATCGAAAGGTTGCTAGGTTCGAATCCCCGGCAGAGCAGATAATTTTCATTCATAAAAAAAAGTAACGAGTTATGAATTTTAATTTTCCCAGTCTCGGCCGGAGATGATTTCGCGCGATTTGCTGTTGCGTTCCAATTAACAGTGCTGCTCCTAAGGTGGTGTATGGAGTTAGTAACAAAGCCTACACAAAACACACTTGGGCTGAAGAACCTCCCGTAAGGTCGATGGCCAAGACATGGTTATGTAGACAAATAACGACAAATCAAAATTTGTGAAAAAATACAAGGTGATCCATTTAAAAATCCAAAATTCATGTAGCTTCGCTATCAAATATCATCCTGTAGGGAAATTTTGATTTGAAGACCTTAATATATCGTGATATATCTCCATAAAGATCATTTCTATATCGTATTGCAATAAAGGAGCAATATATAGCTTTTTCACATATAGAGTCACCCTATCTTTTAGTTCTAATGAGGATAGCAACATCGTTGCTTGAATATACGGGTGTCCGCTAAAAGGAGGTCAATCCATTAACCACATATTCTTTGAACAAAAACAATATGAGTTTCTGAATACCATCTTTCATTTTAGCCCTTCATATTCGATATACAGGGTGTCAAAGTTGGAAATAAAAAACTAATAGATAATTCGAAAAGTACTGGTTATTGTTTGATGCCTATGCGGCATACGGTAATCTCATAATATTCACATACTCCCATTTATTTCGTCGAAATTGGAAGAGGGCGTATCTTTTTACGTACGAAAAGGTAAATATGGAAATACCGGGTGCTCAGAGCAAAAAGTGTAAAAATTAATTCAATACATTCGCTCTGAGCACCCGGTATTTCCATATTCACCTTTCCGTACGTAATGAGATACGCCCTCTTCCAATTTGGACGGAATAAATAGGAGTATGTGAACATTATGAGATTACCGTAAGCCGCGAGGCATCAAACAATAACCAGTACTTTTCGAATTATCTTAAAAACAAATAATTTTATCGGAATTTTACAAAAATCAAAGAATACTCAAAAATGATTGAACACTTCAAGAAAAAGGGAAAGAAAGTCATTAGCGCACGTAAAAAAAAATATTGGGGTAAGTGTGTACTTGACCCCCAGTATTTTGAATATTTGACAGTTATTTCCTGTTTTGTTTTCCTCACACGATGTAACTCTTTGTGCTGAAGTGATGTGCCAATTTTGAGATTGATATCTTATTATTTACGCGAGTAATTAGAAGAAAACAGTTTTTAATTTCCAACTTTAACACCCTGTTTATCGAATAAGAAGGGCTAAAAAATGGTATCTAGAAACTCATATTATTTTTGTTCAAGGAATGTATGGTTAATGCATTGACCTCCTTTTAGCGGACACCCTGTACATATGTGCAGAGATCAGGTGGGTGACTGATCTCTGATATGTGGTAGATTGAGTATATTTTTGTATTCAGTTCAGCTTCATGAAAATTCGAAATATTCCATGTTCCAATAGTTGATCTGAGGCTTTCTGAGGTTAGCTTATACCGGGTGTAACAGGATCATGGTACACCCCCTTTTCCTCCTTCAGTTTCAGAGATGAGTGATTGAAATTTGAAATGAATGAAATGAGGTATATGCTGAATCCTTCCAGACACTCTGAATAAGTACTAGCAACTCACACGTATCCAGCAAGTATATTGAGTAATGTAGACTTTCCAGCACCTGATGGGCCCATGATTGCTGTGAGTTCCCCTGAACGAAATGTTCCGTTTATTGATTTGAGTAACTGTCTCCATCCTGAAAAAGAAAAATATTGAGAATTCACTAATAGTATAGTCAGCATTAATTGTAACTAGCATAATTATTGCATTTTACAACTCGGTTCCTTGGTACAGGATGGTACAGGGGATGATCTATATACAGGGTGAGTCATTAGTGTGGCAAAGTGGGATAACGGCTTTACAGTTTGAGATAGATAGACAAAAGTTCCAGAGATGATCTAGGATCATGAGCAGCACATTTCCAAATCATTTCGCTTTATACAGAGTGACTCAGATATGCGTGGCGTATCAAAGTTATACTTTTTCTTATGGGACACCCTGTATATCATTGCATTTTCGCATTCTTCTTTGTGAGCTGATTTCATCAATGCATCACACTTGGGGTCTAGCGAGAATGATTACACAGAGATATAGGGTGTTCAAAATCGAGATTTTTCAAGTTTAGGATTTTTTTTGCGTCGAAACTATTCATTATTGGTCAAAACGGCTTTAATGTCCCTATCCCAACTTTTGATTAACTATCTACTGACATTTAATTGGAACAAATACAGGGTGGTTCAAGATTCATCATTCTGATCACTCTTGTATCTTGTATAAGCGGAATAATTTGGATATGTGCTGCTCATGATCCTAGATCATCTCTGGAATTTTCATTCATCTATCTCAAATAGTAAAGCAGTTATCTCACTTTGCCACACTAATGACTCACCCTGTATATAAGGGCTATTGATGCTGCAGACCAGGGCTCCATGGGTTCAAGGATCCCCCCGAAAACCCTTACAAACTTGAGATGAAAAATTTGGAATTAGAAGTGGGTTGAAGACTGCAGAGTTTGTTTTCACCAATTGGTATCATTCTTTTCTCTAAGTTTTTATGATTTTCTCTCCTCGTCTCTATAGATCAAAATATTAGTTATATTTCAATAAACCTATTTGTAGTAAAGAGAAATAAGATGATCTACTCAAGAATATAACTGTGCGTGAAATATCACTATTAGGAACCTGATAATCAATTTTGATCGAAAGCATTATAGAGAGAAGCCACCTACGGTCTCGCAATTTTTTCATGACAGTTTTTCTCGTGAAATCACTGAATGGCATTTTTTTGGGAGGAATTCAACATAAGCACTTGTTTTTCATGTTTTCTATAGAAATCGTATTATAAGAAAATTCTCGTAACCAACTATCCCAGGTAGCACATCATATTGGCTGGAACCCGATTTCATATTGGGCCGATATAGATATATCGTACATGTGAAAAATAATATAGGTCCAATATGAGAGTATATTGGACAAACAATATTGGAATGATGATATTGGTGGAATATTGGTTCAACCTGAGCTGAATATGGATTGTCAGCTACAATATTGGAGCAATATAGGTTGTAAAATTCGTTAACAATGTGTTGAAAAACATATCTATGAATGTTATATAATATTGTTTTACGAATGTCGATACAACAACATCGTATACATATTGTTCCCGACATTCACAACCAATATTGCCATTTGAACATTCTCCCCATGTCGATTCTGAAGCGGTTATGCAATATTGTATATTCAAGTTGAACGGCATATCGGTTGAATATTGTTTTAACAATATTTGAAACATTATATTCACCCATCTTGATTGATATCATTTTATCTATATCATGCGGAAGATATCGTATACAATTTGCTTCTTACATTTATAACCAATATCGCGATTTGAATATTGTCCCCATGTCGATTCTGAAGCGGTTGTGCAATATTGTATATTTGAGTTCGACGGCATATTGGTTGAATATTGTTTAAACAATATTCGAAATATCATATTCACCTATCTTGATTAATATCATTCTATCCATATCATGCGGAAGATATCGTATACATATTGTTTCCAACAACTATAACCAATATAGCAATTTGAACATTCTCCCCATGTCAATTCTGAAGCGGTTATGAAATATTGTATGTTCGAGTTCGACGACATATTGGTAGAATATTGTTTCAACAATATTTGGAACATAGAATTTACCAATATTGACTGATATCATTCCAACCATATCGTGCGGAATATATCGCACACATATTGTTTCCAACAACTATAACCAATATCGCAATTCAAACATTCCCCCCATGTCGATTCTGAAGCGGATATACAATATTGTGTAATCGGATTCGACGGCAAATTGGATGAATATTGTTTCAATTGATATCATGCGGAAAATATCGTATACATATTGTTTCCAACAATCATAACCAATATCGCAATTTGAACATTCTCCCCATGTCGATTCTGAAAGAGTTTTCAATGATTCAAATATGAATATCAATAACAGCAATTCTATATATATCTTATATCGGACATAGAAGAGAAAAACAATATTGTAATTTCAAGTTCAATTGCATATCGGGTGAATAGTTTTCTAGCAATATTCAGAAAATAATGTAATCTTATATTGGCTGATATGTGATTCACTATATCATGTGAGCAATATTGTTCACATATTGTTTTGAGAATACATATCGATATCGAAATTTCGATATTTATTCCATATTACGCACTCCCAAATCGATGTCGATAGATGGCGCTATAAATGATTGGTAACGTACTCCCATTGCCGATCAGACGAGAGAATATAAATATTAGCTCTAGACGATTGTAAAGTATTATAACCTGAAGTAGGGGTTAACCGTGACCAACAAGAAGGCTTTCCCAATGCAAGGCCCTTCCATTGCACTCCGGCTGGGCTGACCTTTGTGATTATTCCTGATGCGAATAACTCGCAAATATTGGTATGAAAATATTCCACCAATATTCTGAAGACAACATAGCTACATGATGATTTTCAATAATGTACCAATATTTCCAACCAATATTGCACCAGTATTGTCAAATATTCACTGTCCATTTATCAGCAATATTGATATCACATTTTGTGACCAATATAACTTCACGAATATTCCAGCAATATTGGTAAGAGAATATTCTACCAATATTTCTGAGACAACATACCTTCATGATGATTTTCAATGATTCACCGATATTTCCATATATTACACCAATATTGCCGAATGTTCACTATTAATTTCTCGCCAATATTGATATTACATTTTGTGTCCGATATAACTCTACGAATATTCAACCAATATTGATATGAGGATATTCTACCCACATTTGGATACTGATATTGTACCAATATCGCCGAATGTTCACATTTTTTTTCTCGCCAATATTACTTTCACAATATTTTGCCGATATTTTCGTAATATTGCACCGATATTGTCCCAATATATGTGTGCTACTTGGGTATGGAAACTGCAATATCACATTTTTTTTGTGTGGTCATTCAATGAGAAACACATCCCGTATTTTATTATTATTTAGGAAATAGATAAGAGAATACCGGCGACTCTGCATTCATTGCTCCTTGTTCTATACAAAGCAAAATATCATTTTATGCTTCAATCGGAAGGTCAATACCTGCATAATATTACGCCTAATCATCTGAATTTTGATGAATGCATTAGTAGGTAATTAGTTATTCCTAAGTGCATATACGTTATGAATTTTAAGCATCATCTGCTGCAATATGGAATTTATAGAGTCGTTGAAACTATATTCTCAGTAGTAATACTATAAGTACTTCAAAATAATCGGGTTATATACATCGCTAACTTGCATAACTACATAGAGTGCCAGTTTGACAGTTGAAATAACCCGACCGTGCAGCAAGGAGGATTAATAGGATTTGTAATTATGCAGGAAGTTCGCACTCTATGGATCCAAAGACACATATGACATCAATCTTAATAAATATCGATACTAGTGTTTTGTCAAGTCGGTAACAAAATGTAAATTTGATTTGACATCATTACAACCGACAAGCGCTGATCACGATAGCATTCATTGAGAACATACTACCAGGTTCAATTATGACGTGGCTGTCTGAAAGTAGTTGAAGAATGGGGTTGAAAGAAAACACAAACTGGCCTCACTCCAGTAACTACCTACTTTGAAAGATCTTGCTTCCAAAGCACTACTTGCTTTTTTATCTTGAAAGTGCAAGGCGGCTTTTGGTAAAGCCTGCGGATGCAAGAAAGCAGGATTGAGATGAAGAGTTAAGACCTCCATTTGCTGCTTGATGAATCTTTATCGATTGCAGAAGGAGAATCCGACGAATTGAAGGAAATTGACATCGATTCTGAAGCTGATTTTACCATTGTACCCGTTGAAGATATGGAAATCAACGAGCCAGCTCGGTCTGACCTTTGCCAAAAAGAGTCGATTAGGCCTACAGGGAAAACCACGTTAAAAAAACGGGCCGTGTACTTTGAGAGATGATGTTAATTCTCAATTTCAGAGGATTTTGATCTTTCATGCTCTCTTTTTGGATATTCAACAGATATAATTCGATGTTTAAATGGCAAATAGCCAGGAAAGTAGTTGTTTTCTGTTGAATATTCAGAATGACAGTATGTGCATATCTTTATATGAAGTAGAAGATTTTGTTTTCAAATTCTCATCGTGTGTGTTCAATAGATGTAATTCATTATTCGTCGTGGCATATAGCCAGGAAAGTAGTTGTTTTCTGTTGAATAAACCGTGAAAGAATTGATATTTTCATCACATGGAGAATGCGAATTCTCAATGTATTTCCTTATGTATATATATATCCATTTCTTTGTGTTCATAAATATATCTGAGAATGTTCCTTTTCGAAATTAATTGATCATGAATCATTAACATGGATTGATCAATGGATTGATCGATTAATTGAATAACATATATTATGCTACTGTTTCGTGTGAAATATTCATAAAGTCTTGAAATATTAGATTTGGGAACCGCCAATACACATATTATTTCCGAAATTCGCCTCTATACAAAACTTGCGGATAATTTTAAATTGTGCGAGGACATTTGTGCCTTGACGGTTTACTTTAGCGGAAATATACTAGGTACATATTTTATGGGATAGGTATAGGTATGTCCTCTAGTCATCAGCAAGCTATAGATATAACGAGAAACCAA